ATATTTAAAGAAAATCCAAGCAACATGCAAACAGTATTCCCCTTTTTTTGACAAAATTTTGCAGATGTCTTTATTTACTTTGCATTTAACATTTTATATATTATCAATTAATGAGTTATACCTACCAGGCGGACAAATTCAAATGTCCGTTTCTACTGCAATTTTTTTTAAATCGAGGGTAGATGTCTTCATTTACGTGCCAGATTTTCTTCATTATTTTGAAATTTAAAATAATTTTAATACAGACTTGTAGATAGGGTTGATTTTTAAGCTCATTTTTGTAAAAAAAAAGCATTTTCATAAAAATTTAGATGTCCGTTTCTACTTTGCTGCCATCGATATGTGGCAAAGTAGTGTTAATAGTGAATTTGATTAATGAAAAATTGCACACGTGTAGTTCTACTTCTATCATAGTTAAATTAACGGTGATGGTAGATACAGAATCAGCATTTTTTTGGCAAGGACATAGGTAATTTAAAATTTGGAATAAAATTAGTAATAGGTAATAAATAATAAATTGTTTGAAGATATACGTTGTACATCATTCGTTAACATTCATATACTATATTAATCTAGTAACGATACCTACAGCTAAACTCACATTGATATCTATACAGCTTCAAAATTCTTATAATAATATTTTACTATTACGTATTTGTTTTCCCCTTTGCAAAAAAAATACAATCAATCTAACCTAGTTATTAAATATAATTTAGCATATATGTAACTATAATGCATAAAATGCAAAAAAAATCTACACCATATAATTAACCAATTACCACTGCTTGAGCAAAAAATCCTCATGAATGTATGAAAACACTTCTATTTTATTGAATAGAACTAATTTTACAGATTTTGTTGCGTTTAATTTATCCTAACGCGATTAAATCCGTAAAACTAGTCTTATCAATGTGCAGTATACGTGTAAATATAAGAATCATCATTTCTATTTAATGCCCATTACTCACATAATATTATCTACAAAAGTTTACATGTGAAGAAATTTTATAAACATGAATATAAAAACTATTTGCGTGATAATTTTTTAAAATATGCACTTTTTCGAGGTTCTGTCATTTGATCGTAATTTTTTATATAAAAGTAACTTACAATCCACTTGATGGTTTGTGGCTATTGCAGCCCATGGACACTCCTGTAACCAACTTTAAACAAAGAAAGATGCAGATTAATAATATACTTAGTGATTAGATGATTAGTTAATAAATATATAAATCTACCATTATTATCAATAATAGTTTTAATATAAGATAATAGTTTAAAGTTAATAGACCACAGCAACTAAACCGTGTGTGGTTTCTGCTGTAGGGCAAAAAAAATCAATTTGTGTGTTTTTTTTAAATATTTTGAATAAATGAAAATAAAAGATGCGATTAAGGACTAAGTTGGATTGCCTCACAGTCTTTAATTGTACTGGATATCTATAACCTTCTTCTACGTCTGGAACACAATATTTCAACACTGATATTTGGCGGTATAAATAAGTAAAAGGGTGAACGTACCCAGATGAACTTCTAGGCAGAAAAGGAGCCCTACCAACCGCTGCCTATCCATTTCTAACCATCTACCTCTGCTTTAAGTGCATAGATATTTTTGTTTATGATACAATAGTGCAATTTAATTTTAAAGAAGCTTAATATACTATGTCATTGACTCCGGTGTCAATATTCAAAATATGTCAAAAATATGCATACCGTTACAGCCTATTAAGGTCTACTGCTGACTGCATCCTCAAAGATAACCTCACATATTTGCATTAGTTGCCACGCGTGGGAAGTAGATTGGCAACTGCAGTTTATTTTTTATTTTTAATCGTTATTAGAAAGACGCTGCTGCCCATCTCCTGATTTGTTGCCCTCTGTAGTCTCTTAATCTTATTGAAAAAATAATTGACATCAACTATCATAGAATCTGGTTGAAATTTATTTGGATCACCATTGTCATTTACATTGAAATAGTCTTTTTAGAAAAAAAAATCAACAAATTAGTTTCACTAACCTCGAAAATAACGTGGAATATTCAATTAAGAGATACAGTAAAATTGATAAATCTATATTTTATGTGACTTTTGAACTTAAAATTTTGTCATAAAATCATATAAATACATTATTACACCAAATAAACATTTCAAGTAATCACAAAGTTACGACCAATTTATTACTTTTAATATTAAACTATTACATTGTTAAAACTTATTTTAAGACTTACAGGGACACTGTGTTACTAAACGCCGCCTTGTAACTGCATTTTGTATTGGCTCTACCGGGGAAGGATCAAGCTACTGAGAATACCTGTATGAAATATCATAATGTTACTGCGTTTCAGAAGGTGTGTGACTAGAACCTGATACTCTTGTTACTGATAAATAGGCGTTCTAACTTAGTCCTCAAGAGTGATAACGATAGACGTGTCTATGGGCACAGAATCTCGTTACTATTAAATAAACTGGGTGGATTTTGAAAATAGGAAACAGACACTGTTATTGCATTTTGAGCTCTACAATCGTATGGTCACACTTACTATTAATTATCTCTATACCTATCACTTTCTATTGGCATATAGTAAATTGAAAGAGAAATAATAAAATTAAAAGTAATTTATTTTAGGCTTTTTTTCACCTATTTCAGCTACAATTACAATATGTAAATATTACATAGTGCTAAAAAATAGAACTAAATTAAAAAATATATAAAAAATATACTGTTATAAAATTATATAAACACAGAATCGACTCCGATTTTATGCGTAATGCTGTTAGTCATTAAGTTGAAGAGGCATTTGAGAATAGGAGTTTGCAGTTTTACTATTAATATGTATAGTGCCCGATAACTGGCGGTCTGCCCTTTCAGCGTAAACTAGTGAAAATATGCCATGACTGGCGATGAATAAAATATTTTGAGCAAACATTGTTCGTTCGAGAAATAAAATTTTTAGTTGTTGGCACGCACTAGAGCAGCTCGAGGGACATTTTTGACTCAACTGTCCCCTTTATAACTAAAGTTTTTACTCTTAAGTTTTATATGTGATTCAATGACCAGCGTCATAACACTACTTCAGTCGTTGTCGAAATTTCTTTCACATCTTCGTGTTTAATAATATAGTTTGAAAAAGTATTTAAGTCACGTTGCAGTACCATTATTTCTTTAATAAGTGGTAATTTGTTAATATCAGTATATAAATTCAACTTAGCGTACCCAATAATTAAAAAAATATCATAATAGTTGAATATTGATTTTAACGCCATCGTAGTCACGCTCCATTAATAATTTCTCGCTGAAGCCTAAAGCCATATCAATTTCATACTGAACTAGTAATTAACATTATCACACTTCCAAGTTTCGATCTGTATATGTGTCGTAGTTCGATCGTAGAACCGGTCAGATCGTGATCTGCCTAGGCATTTTATGACACACCACCATTTCATGATTTGGCCGATAAGATGGAAGCGATATCGAATTCATATTGTGCTTTGAAAGTAACTATTGCAAGATCATCACATCTTATGTGATACTCCTTAAGAGACAAGAGCATACCCAGGTAATATATATATATATATATATATATATATATATACATATATATATAGTATATATATATGTATGTATATATATATATATATATATATATATATATATATATATATATATATATATATAGGTATATATAAGTTGAAACACATATAAAACATTTTTGTTTAATACTGCTCATTGGTTGATTACCCCATCCCATAAATTTAATCAGTTATAAAACTAATTTACATCGCTGCAAATTAATGTTTTTCTTTTCTTATATGGAATCTAAATCTAAGCATCATGGCATATAAAGGTCGTTGAAGTGAAAAACAATGAAACCTATTTTATAAAACGTTAACGTCACTCGTATTTGCGTTATGCCTATGAGTATGAAGCATTAGTTCTAATTTTGAACCGATTGCAAGTTCATTTTTTCATGTTATCTTTGTAAGTAGATTTTTTAAATTAAAAAAAATTAAGTTCCACATACGAAATTTTATTAAAAATTTATTTAATTTCATTGCGTAATACGGCCATTGCGAACCCGGTTTTCTTTACGAATCTGTATCAAAGTCAAAAAATCAAAACTCTTTAATACAATTTAGGTTTGTTTAAAGCAATATAAACGTCAAAACCTACACTGGAACGTGTGCATCAATGTATTTCACTTAAACTATTGAAAACTAAACTCATATTGCAAGAAATAGCATTAATACAAATATTCGTATTCTAGTGTAAGCATATGTTTTATTGTAGAGACATATCAATTTTCACTTAGAGTGTAATAAACACACATACACCCACACACATACACACACACATAATATTACAATTACAAACTTATCAAGTTCCTTGTGAGTTATTGCTAAATTATAGACAATACTATGATAATATCACTATTAATATATTACTATCTTACAAACATTAAATTGAGGAACTGATTGAAAAAAATGTCTTAAATGTTTTTGGGATAGTTTAAATTACAAATAATATATAACTCTCCTTCTTCTAAATTACATATAACTCTCCTTCAAAAAACTAAAGATGATAGCAATTTATTTTAGAAATAAAAATTGTTTTCAATATAATTCTAATTATTGTAAATATGCCTTAAAACTTAATTGGAATTTAATCAAATTGTATTCAAACTATTTCATTAATTCCCTCTCAACACTTTCGCTTATTATAATAAAACAGCTGCAAAATTTATTTTAATTGAATAAAGTAATTTTATGGATTTTATTGCCTTTTTTTTAACTAAATAATAATAAATGTCTTTTAGTCATATAATAAAAAAATAATAATACTTAGGCATTTACAAAATAATTTATATTATTCATTATTCTTTTGCAAAACTATAATTATTCGATACCCAAAGAAACAACTTCCTTAGAATACCACATCGTAACTTATCTTACGTAAGACTTAACCAACACACTGCTGTTTTCAGCAGTGTATGTAACATGATTGCTACACAAAGTGTGTCCCACCAGTGTCTTTCCAACAGCTAAAGCAGCAAGGCAAAGCGCACATCAACGTATTTTTAAACGCGTCTCGAAAGTCGCGATTAAAATATGCGTAAATAAGCGGATTGAGCGCTGAATTGAAATATCCTATCCAGAACAGCACTCCGACGACTACGTCTGGTGTTTCACAAGGCTCGCCGCATACGTTTGTCGTTACGTACCTGTTAACAAATTTGAAGATGTATTTGATACCAATAATAACAATTTGCCGCGTTTTCTCCGTAAGTGATAAAGGCATAAATGCCTTTTTTTCTTATTTTTTTTAAAGGTTACCCGCACACTAGGATTTTCTCCTGTATCGTGGAGGCAGTTTACAAACACAAATTGCACAAGGACAAACATCCAGACCCTGAACAATTATTTGTAGGCCATACAAATACTTGTTCCGTGCGGGATTTGAACCCGCGCCCCCCAGCGCAGCAACTCATTGCTAAGCCACTGCGCCACGGAGCCACCTTTCAATAATTATTCTCTATATGGTATAAAATATATAGTATTCTCTTCCATTCTATTTTATTTAGTGTGCTAATGTGGAATTAGCATACACACATGCCAATATCAAGTTGCCACTTAAGAAACTTTTTCCCAAATTTGACTGATTCGGGTGATTCGATATTGTATTTTGAAAACACTGTTCAACTGTGGACTCGTAATTATAGCGATGGAATTTTAAACTATAAATTACGCTATTATAGGCCCCGCTACGTAAAACTTCGAACCGAAAGAATTATTTTTTATAGAAGCGGGGGCAAAGGAGCATGTGGCTCTCCTGATGGTAAAATACTACCGCCGCCCATGAACAACCGTAACACCAGGGGAATCGTAGGTGCGTTTCCGATCTTTCAGAAAGGAGTAAGCTCTTTTCTTGATGTTCCTTAAATCGTATCGGTCCGGAAATATTGAAAAATCGACCGGGAAAGGACCATGTTTGTACAGTGTAATAGCGTGAGATGGCAGCTTAATGCTGCTTTGTTCTGAATAGTGAAGACCAGAGACCATTTTCACTATTAACGAGGCATTTCGTCTCAGTACCCAAGGGTGACAACATATCTACATTTTCATATATATTTTTAAATGTATATGCATAAGGATCACAGCATCCATTTACCATCAAATGTGGGCGTTTTTTCACCTAATATATACTATTGTATGTAACGTGTTCACAGCCTACCAAGTGTGCACAGCTAAAAATAGGCCTCCCCCATAGATTGCCCAATAGTTACTACACTTGACATGCGGGTTAGTAACCAGAGTTTTTATTTAGTTACTAGCTGACCCAGCGAACTTCTTACCGCCTAAGAGTCGATTCTTTTTTTTTAATACTTATTATGCTATTCGGGACACCGGGTTAGCTAGTAAGATAAAAAAAGAAAAAAGAAAGATGATAAGTCAACAATTACATTATGTCAAAAAATAAAAATTATAAAACACTCTTAGATTATTAATAGGTCTTAGGTAGCGCGCGGAGACTATCAATAATCTATGAAAACACTATTGACAAATAGTGACATTAATATTTATACGATACTAACGTACTTTGCGTGTTTTGCCTTCCCGGAACCCCTCCACTAACACTTAAACTTTATAGTATGGTATTAAAGTTCAAATTACGAATATTTTGTATGGGAATATAGAAAAGTGTTGTTTTTAGACTTTTTCAGGCAATTCTTTAAATTTTTCTCTCCGTAAGAACCATCTTCGTACTTCAAGGAATATTATAAAAAAAGAATTAGCAAAATCGGTTCAGCTGCTCTCGAGATTTGCGCTTAGCAAGACATACAGCGGTTCATTTTTATATTATAGATTATTAGGAATACGCTGCGTCATCTCTTTGTTTGTTTTTCTCAATCGCCACGTACACCCACGAGATGATATGGGGTAGTGGATGTTCTTACACCGCCACTACACAGTACCACCTCTCTTTATACACCTTATCTATAAAAAAATAAAACGTAAATACATACAACAATAACAAAAAAGAAGAAAATAGGGAAAAGAACTTACCATAAAAAGAATGGCAACCAACACAGTAAAAAAGCACCAACGATTATTCCAAGCGTGCGTGCAGCTTTATGTTCGGCTCGCCAGGACTTTCCTGCGGCTCTCAGAGTAGCTCCTGTGAATATAAATTACTATTACATAACCTCTCTAGCTATAGTAAAGACATTTTTCTGCAAGTCTACTCTATCTGAATGTTTTCCCTTCTTTTATTCAGACAATATTAAAAATCTTAAACAACACTCATTAATAATGAGTTGTGATGGTCCAAGTAAGAATAGATGATTATGGTGAAATTATTGTATTATCATCGATTCTTACTCGTAAGTCTGCATAATTTTAATTTATTACCGTACTTGTACACACACATACATGCATACATAAAACCAATCGTGATAAAGGTAGTAGTTATGATATTTATTGTAAGCCTTTACATAGTAAACGAGGCATTTCATCTTAGTCCTCACGGGTGACAACGCATTGCCGTTTTGATCTGATTCATTTCTGAGGATAGATGTGATGCCTGTGTGCACTTTTGTTACCCTTATCCTATAAAAAAAGATTTTATTTTGCTGTGCTCTAGCCACCTCTCCATTCTCAGAAGGTTTTGGAGCAGTTATTCAGCAGTCAGCAGCATTACTCCATTGGCGTTCTTAACATCATGTCCCCGTAATATTTAATTTCTCAAACATGAAAGTCCCATCACAATATTTTTCTTTATTGACGAGCAAGTGATTAATCATCACTTAAAATTGCAACTAGCGATTTCATTGCCCTCGGCAAGAATTAAACTAGCTTTTCTTGCATAAGTGCTATGAAATTTACGTGGAGCGCTTAGCTCATCACTACCACGTCTACTTAATTATAATTTGTAAAGACCCAAATGATTGGTAGAAGCATTATATCACATGAACATACATATTTCTTTATGGGGCATTCACAATAGTTACCACGCTTGACAGGTGAGTTCGCAACTGCAATTTTTATTATTTTATGTTTTTTTTAAAGAAAACACTGCTGACAATCTCCTGTTTCAGTTTCTCTCTGTCGCTTTTACGATACCCATAGAAAGATATGGGTTAGTGGATTTTGTTATGCCACCACTACACGGCACTATAAGTTTACTAATACAAAATAAATATTTTCAATCGATCTGCTAAATTTATTTTATCCCAAAAATTAATCTATAAGTTTTAGACCAACATGTAATATAAAAATCAAGTGATAATTTACCTTGGGAATTAAGTTCAGTAGCTGCTTTAGCTAAATCTTTCGTAGCTGCTGCAGACGAACAACTTGGCCTCCACCCTATAGGTGGTTGCCCACTTGAAGATCTTTTGTTGGATCCTCCAGAGCAATATCCGGAACTCGCCGTATCGCAACTGACGTTAACAGATTTTCTGGGACTTGCTTCTTTACTTGGACATATATCTCCTAATGCCATTACTACTTCTCCACCAAATTCTGTTTCCTCAGGGCCAACTTCTGTGAAAGTGCTGTAATTAGGACTGATATCCGATGGTCTTCTGTCTGGATGAAGGTAGTGAGAATGATGAGCAGAGTGAGCTGTATGCCTTAAGTGGACCGAATTCAAAAGAATGTTTGAAGAAGTTCTCGTTAACGCTTCCCTTTGTCTGATAGCTTCTTTGAAAATTCTGCAGTACATACAAATCATAACCACACTAGGTATCCAGAAAGAAATACTAGAAGAGATGATCGCGTACACCATATTGACCTTGAACACACATACATCGGGATGTTGCTTCCGATATTGCCGATGTTGTTCAGTGGTATACCATCCCATAAATATTGGAACAAAACTAATAAAAGCTGGACATAGCCATACGTTAGCTAACATAAAACAAACAGTTCTGTGTGTCATAGTAACAGGATATTCCAAAGGTCGTACGATAGCATAGTATCTGTCTACTGATATACAACAAAGATGTAATATAGAAGCGCTCGAGAAATACACATCAAGTGAATTAAATATATCACAGACTAAGGGTCCGAAGAGCCAAGCATTCGTTAGTTCGGCACTAGCATTGAACGTCATAGCACATAATGCAACCAACATGTCTGCAACGGCAAGACTGACGACGTAGTAATTAGTGAGGACGCGTAGTTTTCTATGTCGATGAACTGATATAATGACGAGCGCATTTCCAAGGAGGGCACCGAGGATAATTGTGATGAACACCAAGCCTTTGAGGACGAGTATGAAAATGTGCTGCCAGTCTTGATCGGGCGCGACAGCGGGTGCCAGCGTTGAATGCAATTCTTGAAGGAACGCTGGCGCCGTGCCGCGCCCACGTTCTTCTACCTCGCTTCTGAAGTTTCCTTCTGCGAAAAAAATAGAATCTGTTATTTTCTTTCTTTGAAGTCATACAAACAACATTGTAAGAGATGCAGCATTTCAATGTATGCAGGTGGCTCGGGACCGTACTATGTGGCATTCTTTGTTAGCTTAAGCTTATGATCAGCAGTGAACTTGTGAATAGCTGTAATAAATACTTTACAAATATACTACATATATTACCAGATACGTATGTAATCAGATCTAATTATGTATAGACATGGAGGCCATATTATACGGTGGAACAAATATGGATATTAAGCGGGAGACTGAAATTTCATGGTAAACTGTCAATGGATCATGTAAGTACATGAAGAAATTAATGCAAGTTAATAATATTTTTGTCTAGATTACGCGGTGTCACAACTACCAAGACCAAGTTAAGATGGACCTGATAGCGACGCTCCAGACATATAAAGATTTTCGTAGATGTATGATATGCACGAGAAGTCTAAATGGTAAACATAGTCTGCCCGTAAGTGTAAATGAATTAAGCAAATCGGGAGATAGTGCTAATATTTATAATATATATTATGTTAGTTTTACGTGGTAGAGCCTTGCTGCAGCTATATTACTGGTATAGTTGTAGCATGAATGGGTCGGATCAACCAGAGAAGTACCACGCTCTCACGGAATACCAGCATAAAAGTGAGTGTAGGGAACCGGAGACCCTTTCTACTGGAAACGAAGTATTCCATCGCAGTCCTTACGAGTGACAGCGCATCTGAATTTTGATTCATAATCAAGGATAGATGTAGATGTCTATGGGCCACAGCAACCACTTACCATCAGGTGAACTGTGTGCTCGTTTGTTACACTTATACTAAAAAAAAATCTATAAGGAACTTTTTAACCCATATTTTGTAGTGTTATGCTACTTACGTATCATTTTACATTATTTTAAATTCATTTTTCCATTCTGTTTCGATTTTCTGCATTCACCTCAAAACTGGATATTTTACATCACCTTTATTTCCATAGGATCCTGTAACGATTTTAAACCATAAGAACACAATAACAAATCATTTCTACTACGTATTTTCACATTATCAGCACTTTTAAATTGGTGTCAATGGAGTCTACCTTTTTTCGATCTTTTAGCTAGTTTTCCGTAACTCTACAATCTTGGGCTTTGTGTGGGCAGCTGCGCTACCTTTTTTCCTACATCAATAACATCTCATTTTCCACTTAAATCTTACCGTTTTCTTATTATAAACCAAAAACAAAAATTTGACATGTTTTGTCTTTCTTATTTATATCGTTTCCATGGTAATTATATTCAAATTTGCTACCGATCTGTTATTCCTATTTCGATAATTCCACATAAATCCTCTTTTCTCTTGACCATTTACAAAAAATTTGCGTATAATTTAAATAATTTTTCCGTTCTCTCTAGAAAGGTATAAAAGCCGAACAATCGGTGAAGAAAGGCAGTCTCGCTTCAGTTCTCGAGTTCGAAGCATCTTCTAAAGGCCTTATCCCGGGGCCGCATTGCCCCGGGATCCTGCAAGCCTCCACCTACACGTGAAGTCTTCGGCGAAGCCTTCTTCAAGCGCGGAGCCGCACCACTCCGGATTCCTACAAGCCTCCATCTACCTCGGAAGTCGCTTCGAGACTACTACAAGCGCGGGGGCCCCACGTTGGGCGCCAAATGTCGTGAAGCGACAATTAAAAAAAAAATAGAACCTAACCTAAGTACAACAAAACAACAAAAGTAGAGCCAGAAAACAATATATTTAAATTTATAAAAGGTATTTACAATTTTATAAAAAAATGGAATGAGGATGATGATGAATGAAGTGAGAGTAGGTTCTATTTTTTTTTTAAATGTCGTGAAGCGACAATTAAAAAAAAATAGAAACTAACCTAAGTACAACAAAACAACAAAAGTATAGCCAGAAAACAATATATTTAAATTTATAAAAGGTATTTACAATTTTATAAAAAAATGGAATGAGGATGATGATGAATGAAGTGAGAGTACAATTAGATTATAAAAAAAATAAAGGTGAGAGAATAGGGGAATATAGTGTTGTAGTGGGGCCTAAAAGTCGAAGCGACACACGTTGCATTTGTAGAGGTAGGTTTCTTAGCAGCGACGGCACGCAGCGCCTGAAGCCAGCACACGCCGTTTGCGCTTGTAGAGGTAGGTTTCTTAGCAGCGACGGCGCGCAGCGCCTAGAGCCAGTACACGCAGCGTCCGGAGCCGGCGCACGTAGTGCCTGGAGAAGGGGCGCGCAACGCTTAGAGCCAGCAGTTGCAGCGCCCAAAGGTAGCGCCGGCGGTAGGTGCACTCGGCGCCTGGAGTAAGTAGTCGTAGCGCCCGGAGTAGTGTGGCCCCCGCGCTTGTAGTAGTCTCGAAGCGACTTCCGAGGTAGATGAAGGCTTGTAGGAATCCGGAGTGGTGCGGCTCCGCGCTTGAAGAAGGCTTCGCCGAAGACTTCACGTGTAGGTGGAGGCTTGCAGGATCCCGGGGCAATGCGGCCCCGGGATAAGGCCTTTAGAAGATGCTTCAAACTCGAGAACTGAAGCGAGACTGCCTTTCTTCACCGATTGTTCGGCTTTTATACCTTTCCAGAGAGAACGGAAAAATTATTTAAATTATACGCAAATTTTTTGTAAATGGTCAAGAGAAAAGAGGATTTATGTGGAATTATCGAAATAGGAATAACAGATCGGTAGCAAATTTGAATATAATTACCATGGAAACGATATAAATAAGAAAGACAAAACATGTCAAATTTTTGTTTTTGGTTTATAATAAGAAAACGGTAAGATTTAAGTGGAAAATGAGATGTTATTGATATAGGAAAAAAGGTAGCGCAGCTGCCCACACAAAGCCCAAGATTGTAGAGTTACGGAAAACTAGCTAAAAGATCGAAAAAAGGTAGACTCCATTGACACCAATTTAAAAGTGCTGATAATGTGAAAATACGAAGTAGAAATGATTTGTTATTGTGTTCTTATGGTTTAAAATCGTTACAGGATCCTATGGAAATAAACGTGATGTAAAATATCCAGTTTTGAGGTGAATGCAGAAAATCGAAACAGAATGGAAAAATGAATTTAAAATAATGTAAAATGATACGTAAGTAGCATAACACTACATTTTTCCCAGCGCCACATTAAAGGTGCATTTATATTTTAACACAAACCACCTATTTATTTTTAAATAAGGATAAGCATATTTTTTATGATCAAATAGACTACATATATTAGCCGTTACGAGTATTTAAAAGGCATTGCTGAAGATAATGTTTACTTGTGTTTATTCAACATTTTTTTGGATTTTGTGAATTTTGGTCAACATAAGTTGGAGGAACACATAACTTATCAATTTTATATAATTTATTAATTTACTTCAAGTTGTATTTATATATGATAAAATGAACTATACTATTAGTACCAACATTGAAAAAAAAAATGTTTTTATATCTGATTATTGTAAGGTTTTGTTTAACTCCTCATATAAGGTGCACTGAGAACTAGAGACTTCATGAAGATTATTTTCAATTTTATCAGGTTAAAACAGCGTATCGTGCTACAAATTGTATTGTAATCACAATGCAATCTGATACTCATCATGCAGGAATTGCCTCATGTATGACACGTGATCAGTTTGATGAGCTTGATAACAACTGAAGAAAAAAGATTAATTAAATTATATTTGTTTAAAAACACAATTTCGATTAGATAAGAATTGCAAATGAAATTGGAGTTCTGGAAATGTTTTGTTATTCAAATGAAATGACTTTGTAAATTGAATTTGAAAGCCTCTTCAAAGGATTAAAGTATTCAAGTACTCGTATACTGTAATATAAAGAAAAAAAAATCGGTAGAAAGAAGCTATACGTGTACTAACGGCGTAAAAGAATCCGCTATCCCATATACTCTCGAAGTGTCGTAATTTATTAATTTATTTAATTAAACAGTGTACATGATGGCTTACAGTATGCCCAAAATACCAGCATGCTAATTTACGAATTACAGTTTTAAATAATAAGTAATAATACAAAATACATGTCAAAAATTTAAAATTTAAAATTAAAAAAATACTTGCCCAATATAATAAGGGTCAAATAGATTACATGTCAAATACACAAAGCAAAATGTCATTGTCAAATTAACTACCTAAGATTAAATTAAGATTTTTCAAATATAGAAGGACTTTCTGCCTAAAGCTCTCAGCAAATAAGCCAGTCTCGTAATCATGGGCAAGCATATCTCCAATAAGCCGTATAGCACGAGTAGTAGGTGCGTAAACGCCGCATCTGGTGCGGTGCCACCATACCCTCCACATCACAGCCAAGCCGCTTCGGAACTAATAAACCCATTCTACTTAATATGGTAGGGCTACTAATAAGGATGATTGCTAGTAACCGTATTTCTGCTTATATAGCCTTCGTGCGAATTTGCACTGTATTCTCTCTATCATCAAAATATATTTCTCCTCATAGGGATTCCATACAATGGTACCGTATTCAAGCTTACTGCGAACATATTCATTGTAAAGTACCAAAGCGACCCCTAATCCGTCGAACTGTGAAGAAATTCGAATAACGAAGCCAATCATTTTACTGACCTTTTTAAATATAGTAGTTACATGGTTATGAAAGTCAAGTTTAGCGTCTAATAATACTAATAATAATCCCGAATAAAATAAGTCACGAATTTTGTTTACTTTTTCTAGTAGATAACTAGGGGAAACGAAACAGTAAATG